TAGCGGATGCAGTAGGAGATAAAGAAGGATAATCCTCTTGGTTTGAATATTTGGGTTTTGGAATATGGGTACCATAATCAACATTTTGTAAAAGCTGGGTTACGGACATCCGAGGTAGAAAACCTACGTGGTTGTCTAAGGAATGGCAAACTTTATTCCAAGTCTATATCTCTCCTAACATTTGGTAAGTTTATGGCTGAAGGAATTTCGGAAAATCTTCCTAGGTCATAAGTCATGGAACTAGAGGCAACATCGGAAAATCTACTATCGGTAAATTTTACGTCGAACGAAGTCTAACACTCCCATCCATTTGTTGATCTATGTATCCGATTTGTGTATTTGGTTTTAGGACCTTTGGAACCGGTAGAGAGCCGGGTTTTGTAATACCTTTCAAGATCTATTCATTTGATAGAACTATGTCTTTCCACCTAATAGGTCCGGGAATAACGGTATTGCATTTGGTCGGATCTGTTTGCGGAAGAAGGGTTTCATCTTTGGTTGATCGCCTTTTGTGTTTAGATGCAAATGCGAATTCATGGCCTTGTAATGAATTTTTGTAATCAATGCAACTGGAATAGATCCATCCATCATATGATAATTATGGGTTTTGACTTATAGAACCAATGATTCAAGAATATTTTTTTCATTCAAAGAAACGGTAAAATTTGGATAACAATCAAAAGAGATAGGTCCACTACATAAACTACACTCAATTGAACTTAACAAAGAGTCTTGAAAATTTGTAAACCTATTGTCTCTAAGGATCTGCCGGGATTGAGGTATTCAATCCCTCTTTTGTAAATGGTTTAATCCTCACTTGAACTAAACCAATATGAATATACTTGAAGCCTTTGTCTTTATGTTTTTGAAGAGTTTTGGAAGAAAGGAGATGAATTGTTTCAAATGGTTTTGAAAGTCGAATATCACGCTCCTCGGTTTTGATTGTGAAATCAATTTTGAAAAGTCCATATTTGCTTGGTTTTGTAAATCTCATCTTTGTGAATCTTGGGTATTACCCAATCATCAATTTGTTTTTCAAAATCTTCTATGACATATTCCACACTATTTATTATCTTCTTAGAATCGAAGAATCGAAGTAGAAGATGCGGATAAGTAGGTAGATCTACGGAATATAGAATCCATACCTAGATTATGGTTTGGAGGTTTGGGTACGCGAGTTATGAAGGTGACTCCTTTAATTTATCGCCCTATCCGTCGAGAATTACTACCACACACCAACTCGAGTTGTCTATACCCTAGCTCAGTAACATGATCTAGACATAAAATCTATAACCTATAAACATACAACCCCACCAACAACGGAGGCTCTAACGATTCATCGGTTTTACGGATCCGAAAGGATAGGAAATATCATTTGCGGAAGCATATATCTCAAACCAATCAAAGAATATATATATATATATATATATATATATATATATATATATATATATATATATATATATATTAGTGATTTTTTTGTCCTTCTTAATGTTTAATTAAGGGAATAAATTAAATTATTTCCTTTCTTGATATCTTACTTCTTCTTCTTCTTGTTTTTTTTTTTTTTTTGGTAAATATACTAATTTATCCTTATATAATACTCAAAAGTTTTCATTTATTCTCGTATTTTTAATTGTACTCTATTTGTTTCTAAAAATTTTTGAAATGCTCAACTTATTATTTCGATTAAATTTTTGACCATAAAACTTTTTTGATCGAAATTCCATTAACATATATATATATATATATATATATATATATATATATATATATATAATTTTAAAGATTTAAAAAATAGAATTATTAGATTATGTGACTTTAAGTGTTTTTGTTTATATATATATAAACAAAAACGCTTAAAGTCACATAATCTAATAATTCTATTTTTTAAATCTTTAGAATTTTATTTTATTTTTGCATTTCAATCTAGAGTATTTCGGTAAAAAAAAAAATTTATTTGGTCAAAAAAATTGATTAGAAGAATAGATTAAACATTTCAAATACTTTTAGAGACAAGTGTAATGCAACTAAAAATCTAAAAATAAATGAGATATTTTAAATATTATATAAATAAAAATGAATATTTATTTTGGGTTTTCTGCTTATGTGTATTAGAGAATAAAAAACAAGTATCATGTTTTATAGTGTGTTGTGTATATATATATAAGGAGGAGGATGGCAGTTTGATGGGTTGGAGCTTTCGTGGTGTAATATTAGGAAAAGGGTCGAAGATAAGTGATAGTAAGAAGCTAGCTAGGATCTATGTTTAGGATGTATTATTATTTACAAGTTACATACATTATTATTTTTTAGATGTTATGGTAGAATGAAATCCAATTGGTGTTATGTTATAGCGATACGTTTCTTTTTCTCCCCAACTAACGAATAGACCTCTTAATTAATTGTTACATCATTCAAATTTTAATGTATATACGCCATTGTAATTATTGTAAGGGTGGTTGTTTTTATCAAATCAATTAATAATATGCTAGTTTAATACCTTTTTACTGCTAATGCATGAGTCATTCACACATACAATTCCAATGAGATCATCCATTTATTCCGAAGTGGATTATATGATGGGAAAATTAAAGCTGTTTTTACATAATTATTTTTTATAAATTCAATTGTTAATAAATTAATTTTATAAAAATTATTAATGAAATCTATTTATTTAATGCATGATATATATATATAACAAAATTGTAAAATAATTTATATGAAAGTAGCATTACTCTTTATGCATGGAAAAGAAAAAAAATCATTTATATATGTAATAGCTAACGTCAATTCAAACTCTTGGTTGAACGAGGCTATCTACTTGTAGTCTCATTATTTTGAAGGAGGCTATCTGCTTGTAGTCTCATTATTTTTAATTACGTTGATGTTTTATACGTGCCCGGATGTTTACACAATCTACTTGCAATTGCGTGACTTGAAGGAGCATCCAGATATGCATGAAAAAAACAAAAAAAAAATGGATAAGAAAGTAATTTTCCTTTTTAATCATTACTTTCTAATGCTATTGTCTAAAACATTCATACCAAAGAAAAAAGGTCAAATAAATAAATCAATAAACAGACACGGCTCTTCTTTGTAATTATTTGTCGAGTAATATAAATTATATTTTAATATTTTATCTAATAATTTAAGTTTTTATATGAGATGGTCATTTGATATAATATCAAAACTTATTTAACTAAATGGTTATGAGTTCAAGTCTTATCGTCTTTATTTTTTTAAGTATTCAACACAAAGCAATATCGATCTATGCAAGTTTCAAACTCAAATATTAAAATTTTCACTTAAAATGATATATTAGAGAGTAATATAAATTATGTTTTGGAATCTCATCAAATTTCTTAAGTTTTTAGGCGAGGTGAGAGAGTCTTTTAATATGCTTACTATCTAATTCATAAAATAAAGTAATAAAAATATAATATAATAGTTATCACATGATGATGTATACATTTTACATGATTTTATTTATTTATTGGTTTGATTAATAGACGAAGTGGTAGACTAAATTTATTTAATATTTTTTCCCATGATGTTATTTTTTTTCTATTGACATAATCAATAAAAAAGAAATCAAATATCGAAATGCATAAGTTTGGATACTTAGATGTTGTTCGGGAACATTTTTTTTCACATGATGTTATTAGATATTTTGGTATTGTTTGGTGATAAAGAATTGAATGATAAAATGTAAGTGTAAGTTTTATTTCTATTTTATAGGTGTTTCATTGGAAATAATGAAGTTGAAATGAGAATAAGAGTAAGAATATAAATAAAAATTAAACACAATTTTTTTATTTTAATGGAAGGAGAGAGGGACAAAAATAAGGAATATATATTGTATTTTAACCATTTCTATCACTATCCTTACCTCCACCTCCACCTTCATTGGTAATGATGACAAAATTTTATTTTAAAAAAATTATTATTAATATTATTTTGCTAGAATTTCTTCTTGACGGTTGTTGCCATTGTTGCCGCCACCATCGCTACTCCCATTGGCAATGGTGTTAAAAAAATTTCAAAATGAATAATAATAATAATAATAATAATTATTATTATTATTATTATATTTTATGCTATTTTTTCACTACCATCATCATTTTTATTATATCATCGACATTATCATTTTTTTTTCTACTATCAACTCTAATAATAATGATATCAATTTTTTTTTAAATATTTATTGCTATTATTATATTACTATTGTTACTATCATCAACTTCTCTTCTACCACTAACACTCGCAATTACTTCTATTATTTTTTTTATCATTATAATTAATAAAATTATTTTTAATTATTATTTTAATTCATCTTAAAAATTATATATATTATTTCAATTTTATATTATTATTCTAATTACAGTATAATAATGTAAATAACATTTCGATATTTTAATTTTTATTCTGATTTTTATATTTTTATCTCGGATTTTTCCTTTTTAGTAACAAAATAACACTTTTGAGCTATGAGACTAATATATCGATTTCATTTGAATTATATAAAAATATTTTAAAAATGGACAAAACACAGTAAAACCATAAAAAAAAAAACCTAACATCCCTGAACTTATAAAAAATACATTAAAATTAAAAATAAGAACATGGTCAACATGGTACCTTGACCAGCAATCTTATATTGATAGATTGTCTTAAATCTTAATGATCTTCGGTGCTTGCTTTCTGTTTTAAGGGTGTCGTGTCGTGTCTAGTCAGAGACCATTTGAATGATGAACCATGTGCATCCCTCCTTTTCTGGACCAAAATATCCTCGCTCTCTTCACGTTTTCCCCTGACAACCTCAACTTGTCTCTCCTCTCTTTCACTTGCTTCTACTTCAAGTGCCACTAGCTCACAAGAAACTGCTACTCCTTTCGGGAAGAAAAAAAAATTCAATCTTTTAAATTCGAACCCCTCCCTTTCTTTCTACTGCTGCTTGTTTATATATATATATATAGAGAGAGAGAGAGAGAGAGGAGATGGGTGTAGGAACCAGCAACTTTGTGATTAGATGGATCAACTTTCTCACCATGGTATCCTTTCTTTCTTTTTCTTTTTTTCTTTTTGTTTATCTTTCCCTTGATTTTGTCTTTCGAGTCAGATTCTATGCTACATTGTTAACTGACCTTTCTAGTTTTTTTTTTAAGCCCTTTGGCGTTGTTAATTATTTTGCAAATGGATGGTTTTGTTCCTGGGATATATTAAGTTCTTCATTTTTATGAGGGTTATTTATTTGAAGTTTGTTTCTTTTTTGGGGGAATGCAATTGTTTGATTTTTGTAATCTTGTCTGCCATTTTGTTTAAAACTGGGGTGCTTTTCTGTCTGCTTTCTTTTTAACTCTGATTGTTATTGTTGTTCTTGGTTATGTTAGTAAGTGGTTGTACATAAAAGCAGTTTATAAGAGTACATGGTATAGTCTAGTTAAAGTTTGTACCAGAATAACGAGTATGCTCTGGTTCAGTTATTTCTACTTGGCTCGAATTACTTGTAATTGAAGTGAATACTATTCTTTTATTTGTTTATACAGTGTTTTTATGTCTTTTTCATGTTCTCATTGTGAAGCTTTTAGCTATGGCTGTCATAATTTTTGGGGTATGGATGAGCACACATCATGACAGTTGTCGAAGGTCTCTCACTCTCCCTGTGTTGGGCCTTGGTGCTGTCATCTTCGCTGTGTAAGCTCAAATTTTCGACTGCTAGGCTTCTTTTACCTCTTATGTTTCTACCTTTCCTATTATTCTAGTAACAGCTACTGATGCAACCTTTGTTGATGTTTAGATCGATAATTGGGTTCTTGGGTGCCTTGAAGAGCAACTCCATACTGTTGTGGATTGTATCCTTACTAAGTGACCAATCTTTTATATCTATCTGCTTGAATATTGGTTTGCTTTCTTCATTTGTTTCTTTTATTTGTTGGACGTTCCTTAACTAGTCACTTTCAGTATCTGGTTATGTTGTGTATCATTTTGGTGGCAATTCTCGTTTTTACAGTATTAGCGTAAGTGTTTTGTTTTTCTGGCTCAATTTTGATTATAGCGCATTATGTCATGTATTTTCCCTTTTTGTTAGCTAGATAACAAACTGTGCAGCAGCATTTCAGGTTTGAAATTGACAATTTGTCTATCAACACTTGTCTTTTCTAGTTTGCCTGTTATGCTTACTAAACATGACTCTTGCTTATTTATCCTGGTACTTCTATTGCTATCATCTTCAAAGTTCTCTCTTTGGATTAAGATCAATTTTTCTATGCATTATACCGTGAGGTCAGATATACTCAATTACAAACCGATAGATTGATTGGTTGGGCCAAATTGACTAGAACTAATGTGTTCCTTACATGTTTTAAGCTGCTTTTATATTCTGCGAAGAGCCAATATTAAGTGTGTTGAGCCACATTTTAGAACCATGAGACTCTTTTTTTTTTTTTTTAGCTTTGATGGATACTTAATTTTTAGGTTGAAGTTCAAGATTCTTGAATTAATTACATGCCATCTCAGCTCCACTGGTCTAATTTATTGAAACGGCCAGACTTTGAGTTGAGCTTGGAGATAATGTCGTGGGTAAATGTGCTGGCTTTTTGTGGCGTGAAACTTGCATTTATCACATGGGATTAAGTTTAGCATACAATTGCATCAATAGGAGAGTGAAAAGTCTAACATAGAATGCTTTAGTGCGAGAAGTGTTAGCCATACTAGTTAAAGATGCAAATAAGGATGGATTGAAAGAGAATGATATAAAAGAAATCTCTTGTATATAAATCTTTTCAAAAAATCTCACATTTTGGCGCAACCAGGCTGCTATTTAATGTTCATTTAAAGAAAAATATCTCTTAATTGGCCTTTTTTCTTTCATTAAAAGCAACTCTATCCATCTCCGCTTGTCCTTTCTGTTGTTTCAATTAATTATCATAATCTCAGATATCCTTACCAAAACAATAATAATAATAATAATAAAGAAGAAGAAGCGATGCAAAGCCTAACCAGTGGCCATGTTTTAATTTGTAACATAGCAAGAATGAAGCTTCTGATTCTATCAACCAAGTAAATAGGACTTTCATCAATCTTTTCCACTTTTATGTTAGCATATCACTTCGAAACCTTCAATTGTTTTTCTTTTAATGTGTTTATCATTTTTTTTTTTTTTTTTTTTTTTTTTTGAGTTTGCAAATTATATTTATAATGCTTCACAATTTTGTGATTTCTCCTGTAGGTTTATTGTAACTAATAACGGATCTGGTCATAGGGTCCCTGGTTTGAGGTAAGAAACTTGTAATCTAGGAATCAAGTACCTATGGTTAAATGTTTCGTTCTGCTTTTCGGCATCTGATGTGCAAATTCCATTGTTTTTCGTCTGGACCCGCCACCCCCTCAACCCATCTGTCTCTTGCAGTTGGGTCAGATATTAGTCTTTCAACAAATTATTTCAGATGATTATTTTTGTGAGAAAAAGGGATTCTCTCAATTTGTAGACAATAATTGAGCTATAATAGCTACTTTCTTTATTGATTCTCGTATACTTCAGTAGCTGGGGTTGTTATGGTGCTGCGACTAATCCTTTCTTGTCTGGCTAGATACAAGGAGTATCAACTTCAGGATTACAGCTCATGGTTTCTTAAGCAGGCAAAGACTTTGCCTTCTATGCTGTTGGTTCAAAAAAGATGCTACTTCAAGATTCACATTCTAGTCTAACTTAAAAATTTCATGCAATTATGCCTAATTTTGGTCTTTGCTTCAGTTGAACAACACCAAGAACTGGAACCGATTGAAGAGTTGTCTTGTGAAAACAGATGACTGCAATAACCTACCAAGAAAATATAAGGTTCAATTTTTCACTTCAAAATTTTATTACTCATCCATTTTCATAACTCTGAATGTATGGATTTCCAGATTGATTTTGATGTTTTACACCTGTTGATTGTAGACTCTTAAGCAGTACAAGTCAGCAACACTAACTGCCATTGAAGCTGGTTGCTGCCGACCACCATCTGAGTAGGTGTCTTTTTATGCCTCCACTCCCTGATCAAACATTCAAGTGAAGTTTTTCTATTTGCTACATAGAAATGCAAAGTCCATTATTACCTTCTTATAAAGATATACATTCTGGTTCCTTGAAATGTTTGAGTGGCGCATTTGCATTCTATACTTGCCAGCTATTCAAAATTTTAGAACTGCGTTACTAAGGTTACCCTTTTTAACATACTCTGTAGGTGTGGTTATCCTGCTGTCAATGCTTCATACTATGACTTGAGCTTTCATCCGATTAGCTCCAATAAGGACTGCAAACTTTACAAAAATTCACGGGCTACCAAATGCTACAATTGTGATTCGTGCAAGTAAGCATCATTACGTTTTCTATGCTGTTTTTCTTGTTTTGTTTGTTATTGTTTTCCAGCTTCTTCTGGTTTAGTTGCTTCTCGTGCATTTGGTTCTTACTTTTTCAGGGCTGGAGTTGCACAATACATGAAAACTGAGTGGAGAGTGCTTGCCATCTTTAATGTCATTCTATTTGTCGTTCTGGTAAGTTGGTTGCTATTTTGCTTGAATCTTGTCTTCGCAGGATGTTCTAACTACTTTTCTTTTCTGTCGTGGATGCCAGTCAATGATCTATTTTGTAGGATGTTGTGCTAGACGAAATGCTGCCAGGAGTCACTCTAAAGCTTGAGGGAAAAAACAAAAAAAAGAAAAAGAAAAAGAAAAAAGCTGGTTTCTCTGGGATTGCAACTATATTTCTATCATTTGTTAATCACGTGTATATCTCTATTTGTCAATTGCTCTTTAGACATTTGTTCAAATTAGTGACTTCTCATTTTGAATGAAAAAGTAATGCTTTTGTTCAAGTAGTTTGAAATGAAATGAAAATGGTCATGTGAACTAACATAATAATGGAAGAGTTTAATTTTTACTAGCACACATTGTTGCACGTGAATATCAGTGTGAACGGGGATTTTTCAAGATATCAATAAAATTTTTTTTTAAGGAATAAAGTTGCTATCTAGTATTAATGGTCTTTAAGAATCTATTGATTAGTCTGCTCAAAATTTTAAGATATGGAGTATGAATACAGAAGATATAAATCACTTTATCGTCGTATGTATCTAAGCCTTATTTTTTATTTTTAACTCGATGATTGTTTATGCTTATTATTATGTTTGATTATCATATTGCATTTTTAATATAAATTAAAAATTGGAATTTTTGTTATGAAATAAAAATTAGTATCCAGCCCTATAAAAGAAAAAAGAAAAGAAAAAGAATTAAAAAATTGAAAAAAATAAATAAAATATGACAGCTTGTTTTTGAAAAACGGTTCAGCCTCTATTCTCATTTATTCCAAAAATTCTCTCACTTTCTCAACTCTCTCCAATTTTTATGCTAAAACTTTGTGCTACTCTAGAAAACCATGAACAAGATGATTAAAGTAAAACTTAGCTAGATTAAAGTTTGGAAGAATTAGAGAAATTGAAAGGTTAAAATTGAATTTTAAAGACCCATTTGTCAAATATGAGATTGTCATTTGGGCTTATAATTAAGATGTTTATATGAGTTTATTGATATTTTGAAGTTATTTTGTATTGGGTTTGTTGTTAGAAAAAAAAGTTTAAGTTAGGGTTAGAATTTCAATTAAATTTGGGGATTTGATGATTTAATAATTATTTATGCTAATTGATGTTTGAAATGAATAATGGTTGTGTGAAATTAATTTATTGGACTATGGGTTTGAGAAATCCCCGAGTTGGTTGAGATGATGGATTGTAGAAGTAAGTTGTAAAAAAAATTGAATTAAAAATTGATTATGGATTGTAGAGACAAATTGTGTGACAATTGAATTGGAAATTGATGATAGATTATTTATAATAATATGTAAATTGGGTTGTTAGAGAAAGATTATACAATGAATTTAAGATATAGTTGTTGGGTAATTATCTAGAGTTAGTTGAGAGAGTAAAAGTCTAGTTAAAAATCTTCAATTTGAGTTTTTTCAATAAATTATATTATCGTAATTTGTCTTGTATTTTGATTTCTAAAGTAATTCATTTGCTTCGATATTATCATTTGATATGCGATATTAATGATTATTTGATTATTTTATATCATTAGATTTTTCGAGTAGGCGACTTCATCTCATCAACCTTGACTTCGCTTGATTGTCCGATTGTACTATGAATGGATAGTATATAACATATCATGTTTTTGTGTTCCTTGATATCTTCATCATACATCATTGTTATGTCATAAACACATCTATTAGAACTTGGATGAAAATAAACTCTTCATGTGATTTGAAAAAAATTGACGTAAAAAACAATTTGATAGGATTTTAAAAAATATTTGATTATGTGTTTTGAATAATAGTTTCACATAAGGTTTTATTTAATTCTATGAATTTAATTATTAGTTTGATTAAAAAATTTTATTTTGATTTTATTTATATAATTTAAGTAAGTATTTAATTTGTAATTTTGAATATGAATTTGGATTTGAGTTTAGATTATGATTATGAAATTTGATATTGAATTGTATTATTGAATTTGATTATGAGTATGAATTATATTTGGATATGTTGATTTTGGATATTTTTTTTGAATATATGTAAGTTTATTCAAATTTTGATTTGTTTGATTATGTTAAGGTGCCTAACTATAGGACATGTAACTTATGAGGTCACCGATATGAAAATGCTCTAACTAGTAGAAAAGGTATGGTGCTAGCTCTTATGTAAGTTAACATATGGTATACCTAGCTACAAAGGGCATGGATTTAGATGTTCACATCCAATAATATGATATGACTCGATCACCTCATATGTATATTCCGATACTTGATATGTTTTGAGTCGTTTATAAGTATTTTGATATGAAATTTTGATTATGATTTTAAAAGACTTGAGAATATGATATGATTTGATATTTAAAATATGTATTTAATTTTGAAAAACATGCATTGCATTTTAAGCGAGGTTTTAAATTATTGTTCGTTTGTCTATTTTCCTCTCTTAATTATGTTATATATTATCTATTCACCGAGTCATTATCTTTCTCATATCTCACCATTTTAGTTTTGTAGGATTTGTGAGATTATTTGTTAACTTCTTCGAAACTAATTGTTTTGAAGCCAACATATTGTTCATGTAGCTCATTTAATTATAATATTTTGAACTTGTATTTGAGATTGTTATGTTGTACACTCTAGAGCTCTGCTATTATATTTACAAGAGTTGTATTAGATTATCGGATGAGAATTTCATTAGGTTGTTGATTTGAATGTTATTTTGGATTTGCATAGATATTATAGATTTATAGTTTGTGTTAGAATTAAGAAGTGTTGACTAATTAGGTTGTGATATTGTGAATTGAATGGATATTTTGATTACTTCATGTCTAATAACAATGGTTTAGATATTTGAGACTTATTTGAGTCAAGGTGGATCTCACGACTTTCTCAATTCTCATGTTAGTCATGGCCCACATTAAGGGTCGTGAAAAGGTTGGTATCGGAGCATATGTTTTAGAGTTTAGGGTAACTACGGAGTTTAGATTCTCTTGTTTTAAATTATTTTTCATTCTTGAATTCATCTCTCTTGAAATGTGTTGAATCTAAATTTGTGTTTAGTATAGATTATGATTGTAAAGACTAGATCGGTATTTTTCAAGTCTTTTCTTATAATGCTAGGATATTGTTTGATTCATGGACAACTCAATCTTTTATGTCATTGTATTTTGCTAAAAAATTTGGTGTGATCCATTTGTATTAGAGTAGTCTTTGATGATGTCAGCACAAATATGATAATGTATGATAGCTGATTTGATATTTAAAAATTGTGATGTATGGATGATGGGTAGACATTTACCTATAGATTTAATATTGTTAGATCCGATTGATTTTAATGTGATTTTGTGCTTTTTTAAGTTTTTCCGATGAAGGGAGTAATGTGGTTTGTTAAGAAGGAAAAGTTAAACTCCGGGTTTATTAGACCGTTTAAGATAATTAGTCGAATTAGAGAAATGACTTATGAGTTGACATTATCGCTAAAGGATGATTTTAGGTGAATGTTATCTTCTTAAAGGCATAACTAACTCTTTTTCCAAAATCTTTGAACCTAGTGCCTTCGTTATCTTTTCTAGTTCTCTTCAATACTAGGTGGTGACTCAAAAAACCTTCTTAATTCTTTTCTCTTAGACCTAAAATTGTGGAGGTTTCTTTATGTCGTATAGCGACAATTATCTTTGATACTATGAAAAATATTGCACCTGGAAGGTCCAAATTAAAAATTTTGGTCACCAAACTTATTTATGTTGATTTCATCTCATCTCAACTTATTATAAAAATTTCAAAAAGTTATTACTCATAGAAAGCTTGTCACCCATGATAAGTTGGTTGATCTTCACCTTAGACGGAAAAAGCACTTTCTATTCTTTGTAAATTTCTTCATCGACTAATCATTTGTTTTGTAAATAAAAATCATAATTGGACCTTATATATCTTTTATTTTTCTTGATTTAATCTCAATTGAACCTTATATATATTTAGACAAAATGACATAATGTTACCATATATCCAATTCATAAGTTTCAATCTTCTCTAAAGCCATTTCCTCAGCTTGCCTTTAATTTATTATCTAAGAATTGAATGCATTGTTTATATTGCTTGTATGATAAACATAACAACAAGAAGATTTATAATTAGATAACTTTGAATATTTGAAAAAACGTTATAAGCTATCACATATATAAAGATTATAGAAGCAAAAGAAATATATGAAATCTATTTATAATAAGAAAAAAGAGATAAATTAGAGTAGAAAAAGGAGATAGATATTTGGTGCAAGAAAAGTAAAAAAAAATGTTTTGAAAAAAACTGACATTTTGAGTGCCCAACCATTGACTTTTTTTTTCTTTCCAATTTTAGTGCCTAGCCTTTTTTCTTTTTCTATTTTAGCACCTACGTTTTGGTTATTTTTTTCTATTTAGGTGTCTACAATCATTTGAGAGCAAAAATTGTTGATGTCTCTAGAGTTGATTATCACGTGGTATTTTTTGGTTGCCACACGACACTCAAAAACTATCACATGGTTGTTCTTGTCGGACATATCAATAAAATTATATTTTAGATATCAAACTAGAAAAAATAATAATTAAAAGTTGGATAGCCAATCACAAGAAATCAACATTTGGGCATCAAAACAAAAAATAAAAAATAAAAAATTGGACTCCAAAAAAGTCTTTATCTCTGGTTTTGATTCATGTTCATTTAAGTTCTACTATTTATTTATTTATTTTTTTTAAACAAGATAGACCTACTATTAATGGGTCTAAATATTTGAGCCCATTCTTGACATTTCTAAGATTTAGGCCAATTAACCCCTTTTTTTAGGGTCAAACACATCTTATGCCTCTCCATTAACTTTTCCTATCGATTGATCCATTTTTATTAGTTGATTAATATTTGACTAATTAAGTGGCGATATATGTTAACTTAAGGGTAAAAATTTAATTTTCTTTTGAAATATTTTTTTTAAAATTGTTTAAATATAAAATAATTAATAATTATTATAAAATCATGAAAAAATAAAGAAAAAATTTATAAATAATTTTTTTTAAAATAATCAAATTTTAATTTTTATATTTAAATACTTATTGATAAAGAAAATTGGTAAAACATATA